GCCTCCTCAGCCATGTGAACTGTGAGTCCATTAAACCTCTTTTTCTTTATACATTACCCAGTCTCGGGTATTTCTTCATAGTAGTATGAGAACAAACTAATACAATACCTGAATAAGGCCTTCCCATAAAAGAAGTATGCCAGCTTCCCAATGAGAAGTCATTGCACATCCACGCGATGGATGAAACCCAAACCAACCACCCCAAGCTTTCTTCTTAGGAGAAGACATACAACCAAGGACCACCAGCTCTAGAAAAAGAACACAGCAACAACAACAAAAGATCAAGATAACTCAGCAAAATAACTAACCCAGAGGAAACAGAAAATTGCAGAAGAGACGCTTTTAAAGAATCCATTTCTTATAAAGAGAGATCAAAGATACATCTAGAAAATAATGATAAGAAGCTATGAAAAAGGAACAATCAGAGAACAAGAAATAAATTTTGAGGAATTAAAAGTGTAATTGCTTAGATTAAAAAGAACAATCAGGTTTCTAAAATAAAGTTGAGGAACTCTCCCAGAATATACACGGTAAGATAAATAAGATAGGAGACTAGAAAAGTCATTCAGGAGATCTAACATTTAACTAGCAGAAGTCTGAAAAAACTACCAGCGGAAAGAACAGAAACCAGTAATATTTTAATTGATCACCTTAAGGGAAGAAGGAATAAACAAACAGAGCAGGCTGAGCGCTGTGACTCACACCTGTAATCCCAACACTTTGGAAGGCCAAGGCAGGCGGATCACTTGAGGCTAGGAGTTTGAGACCAGCCTGGGCAACATAGTGAGACTCTGTCTCTACAAAAAATTTAAAAATTAGCTGAGCATGATGAGGCACATCTGTGGTCCCAGATACTTGAGAGATTGAAGCAGGAGGATCACTTGAGCCCAGGAGTTAAAGACTGCACCTCCACTGCACTCCAGCCTGGATGACAGAGCAAGACCCCTGTCTCCAAAAAAAAAAAAAAAAAAAAAAGGAAGGAAGCAAAGGAGCAGAAGGCTGCTGAATTGAGATCTTAGGAGTCTCAAGCTCTTAGATACCATTTACATTGTTACCACTGATATCATGATATTGTTACCATATACACATATTACAGTTGACCCTTGAACAATGGGGAGACTAGGAGGACCAATCCCCTGACAGAGTTGAAAATCCACACATAACTCCCCCAAAACCTAACAACTAATAGAGGACAGTTGACTAAAAGCCTTACCAATAACATAAATAGGTGATTAACACATATTATATATATTATATGTGTTATATGCTGTATTCTTACAGTAAAGTAAACTCAAGGAAAAAATGATTTCAAAATCATCAGAGAAAATGTGTTTACTATTCATGAAGCGGAAGTAGATCACCTGCCTCGTCATCTTCACGTTGAGTAGGCTGAGGAGGAGGAGGCAGAGGAGGGGTTGGTCTTGCTGTCTCGGGAGTGGTAGAGGCAGAAGAAAACCCATGCATCAGTGGACCCTCGCAAGTTCACACTCATGTTTTTCAAGGGTTAACTGTACTTTGATACTGGTAAACAGCATATTCCCAATAACTGAAATGTATTATGTGTCCATTTCAGCTCTGGAAAGGTGTCAGGACCGGGGGTATCTCTTGGAGAATTTAGAATTTTCATCTTTGTCAGCCTTCCAAGCTGCCCCTCAAATAAATATACATCCAAGTCAAGTCAACATGATTTCTACATGAAAACTACTTCAAGACAAGTCCTCAAATTCTTACTCCCTTTTCTAATTAAATTGCCAGCCCACCCTCTTTCAACGTAGAGACCCTCGAGTCATCTGTGCTCTGACCTCCCCAGCTGGCCTCAGCTCTCTTCACCCAGTCGTTTTAGGGACACATACTAACCTGACTCACTCCCCACTGCAACTCCACCATCTGAAACAATTTATCCAACCTCTGTTCAATTTCCCTCCATTCATGCAAAGCCAGGGGACTAATCTTTCTTAATAAGTAGGCAGGTTCCCTCTAGCAAGGGCTAAATTATAACAAGAGTTACCTCTGCTAAGGAGTCATTTTATGCTAGACACTTTCTAAATGTTTCCTCTAATCACCCACCATTCTGTGAATAGATATTATAGTATTACCCTCAATTTTAAATGGATAAATCTGAGGTTTCAGGGGGTTACATAATTTGCCCAAGGACAAAAAGTAAGTGGAGGAGCAAGAATTTTTACCTAGGGTTATCTGACTTCAAAGCCCATACTTTTACATTTCACCACAGCCCTGCCCTAATAATTTATATTGCATTACATTTTATAAGCACATTTATATATTAACCCAGTTTTATTAATTGAACAACCGTATGATAGAAGTTACTAGCCCCATTTTACAGGTGAGAACATTGAGGCCCAAATAAGTTAATGATTTGCTGTTGATCACATGATGCATTCGGTGCCCACTGATTCTTTTTTTTTTATTATTATTATACTTTAAGTTCTAGGGTACATGTGCACAACGTGCAAGTTTGTTACATATGTATACATGTGCCATGTTGGTGTGCTGCACCCATCAACTTGTCAGCACCCATCAACTCGTCATTTACATCAGTTATAACTCCCAATGCCATCCGTCCCCCCTCCCCCCTCCCTATAATAGGCCCCGGTGTGTGATGTTCCCCTTCCCATGTCCAAGTGATCTGATTGTTCAATTCCCACCTATGAGTGAGAACATGCGGTGTTTGATTTTCTGTTCTTGCGATAGTTTGCTGAGAATGATGGTTTCCAGCTGCATCCATGTCCCTACAGAGGACACGAACTCATCCTTTTTTATAGCTGCATAGTATTCCATGGTGTATATGTGCCACATTTTCTTAATCCAGTCTGTCACTGATGGACATTTGGGTTGATTCCAAGTCTTTGCTATTGTGAATAGTGCCGCAATAAACATACATGTGCATATGTCTTTATAGCAGCATGGTTTATAATCCTTTGGGTATATACCCAGTAAGGGGATGGCTGGGTGATATGGTATTTCTAGTTCTAGATCCTTGAGGAATCGCCATACTGTTTTCCACAATGGTTGAACCAGTTTACAGTCCCACCAACAGTGTAAAAGTGTTCCTATTTCTCCACATCCTCTCCAGCACCTGTTGTTTCCTGACTTTTTAATGATTAGTGCCCACTGATTCTTAAAACTACAAGCACCTGTTTTTATGCCACTTTTCAGCTCAATTTTCATCATTTGACATTGTACCCTTAGGGTGCATCTAGTGTCACTACAACTGTGACTTTTTGGTTTCTGCTACCCATTGTTTCATGGCCATACTCTTCATTCTATCACCCCACATGATCTTCAGTCTGGTCACAATGCTCACCCTTCATCCCTGCCAGGCAGGTCTCCTGGCCATGCACCCACACTTGCTGAGCTTGTCCCCATCTTTAAACCTATGCCTGGGCTCACTCCCTCCTGGGACATTGTGTCTTTTATCTGCCCAAATTGCCCCCATTATTTCAATGCCCATCTCAGATTCCAGGTGAATGTCTATCTCTCCTATCCCTGATAGCCCATAGTGTAGGTATTCACTGTCCTGCATGTTGAGCATTTATAGTTTTCAATCAGAACCCCCGCCCTGCTTATGTTTATTTATCCCCCATGAAGGCTTTGTGCTTCAAACCTGCAGTAGCTCTGCGAAGTCAAGGATGAAGACACATATTTCTTTGTATGTCCCCCGTTCCCAGTACTTTGGGCCTACAAGGTGCATAGCTCCTAGAAAATGCTCAAGAAACCCATGAGGAACTAAACGTACAGCTTTTTTGAGTTGTTCGTTCCCAAGTCAAGCATCTGTCTTCCCCTGTTATTCAACTTCTCTTGAAAGCTTGCCAGGTCCTCGTGACTTTCCTTTGAGTCATTCGCTTCTCTCCCCCACATTTTCCAGGCTTATTTTTTCCACTGACCTGGTGTTCTGATGTGCCCCGTGCATATTCCTCATTTGTCTTTACTTTCTGCTCTTTCACAAAGCAAAATGTGAAATGATCCATGCTTTCACTGGCAAAGTTCAATCTTGGGTTTTCTTCCCCCTCCTAACTGAACCATTCATGTGGAGGAAGCTTTTGATCCAGGATTCAGATATTCAGTCACATTTTACATAACCAGAAACCATGCTAGGTGGTTATGTAAACTCTGTTTTTGACTTGAATAGCCAGACAACAGTCTTTACAATTTAGGTTAAAGCATGTTGTCAGCTTCCATTCATTTCTGATGGCCTGAGTGTCAATGTTATCCCACAATAGTGCTGTCAAAGAGATTCATGAGTGTATCAGGGGAGAATATTTGAAGACAAAAAGAAAAATATTTTAGACCATTTTTGTGTAATGTGTTGTCATTATCATATAATATGCCTAAGAAGAGATTAAGTTTGCTCGTACAGTTTAGGGAACAATAGTTAGAAAAGAGGTAACAGCTGAGCACGGTGGCTCACGCCGGTAATCCCAGCACTTTGGGAGGCCAAGGCGGGCGGATCACGAGGTCAGGAGATCGAGACCATCCTGGCTAACATGGTGAAACCCCGTCTCTAATAAAAATACAAAACATTAGCCGGGCGAGGTGGCGGGCGCCTGTAGTCCCAGCTACTCGGGAGGCTGAGGCAGGAGAATGGCGTGAACCCGGGAGGCGGAGCTTGCGGTGGGTCGAGATCGCGCCACCGCACTCCAGCCTGGGCGACAGAGCGAGACTCTATCTCAAAAAAAAAAAAAAAAGAAAGACAAGAGGTAACAGAGATGAGGTAGCCCACGACAAAGCAAGGCAGAGGGTCAACATTCAAGGAAAGTGCCTTCATTTATAATAAAATGTTCAGACGAGTGGCCACTTCTTTAGATACTGATGAGCTAAGTGACCTTTTGCTGTTATAAATAACCTTTTATTTTGGCAGGGACGGCTTTCTAACACACACTCACTATCAGTTAGCTTTGAGAATTCAGGATCTTTCTGGAAGGACATGGCAACAAGAGGAAGAAGCATGGAGAAACTGAGGAATCAAAACACAAACTGACCTGTCATGCACTCTTGGGGCGGGGCGGGGAGCCACTTCAAGTTTTGAACCAAATGTCCTGTCTTTAGTTCCTGGCTTCTTCAAGTTGCTTTGTCCTGAGGTCTTTGCCCTTGAAAGTTACACCTTTGGCGTCTCCAAAGTACTTGATGTACACGGAGACTTACTTAAGCTCTTGTCAACAGGTTTCCGCCTGAAACGGTCGGCTCGTCCATTTTCTTCCTAGGGTCATGTAAACATCACATGCCACAGTTTGGTGCTGTGGGACCTGACCATTTGATCAAACCACTATAAGGGAGGTATGCCACGTGGTTTCTAGCCTAATCTGACAAGGTAGAGGTCAATGTGGCCTCAGTCATAGTTTGCCTACCCTGGGGACATTTACCTAGTGATTAGTGAGAGGAACCTACGTTTTTGTACTTTGAAGGGGATAAGGGTGTAAGCTACCACCTTGGAGATTCTGCCTGATGACGCAGAATTTTTAGAAATCTTTCAGACTGATTAATGAACCAAGCTCACTCATGCTTCCTGGCCAGTCACCTTAGTGAGCCAAAGTTCTCTTCCAAAATTAAGAAGTATCATTCCCTATAGCGATCGCTGAAAAGCTTTTAAGGGCTAATATAATAACATAGAATTATGTCAAAAATCTTCTCAGCTGAAGTTGTTAAATTTAAAATCAATCCGAACATTTGCCAAGCAAAATTGGGATAGATTTGACAATAAGATATTTAAATTTCTTTATATCAAACCAAAAAATAGTAATAATTCCACAAATGAAAAAAATCTTCAGAGCTGCTATGTCAGAAAGTTGCTTAATATTTCTACCATATGAGGAGTTTATACATGTCAATAAGAAAAACGCTAATATATCAATAAGTAAGTAGGTTAAGGATAGGAATGATTTTACAAAAAAGAAAGTTTAGCAATAGTAAGCATAACAATTATTAATCTCAAAAATTATCGAAGAAATTTAAATTAAAAATATTAGCCATTTTCCTTCATCACATACTTATTTTTTAAATAATAACTTAGTAAGAGTTTTCTAAAACAGGTGATGTCACATATTTTTGGCATGAAAATGTCTTATAGCAGCTTTGGAAAGAATTTCAGCAAAAATCATCAAGGATTTAGGAATTTTATTTCTGAGAATTTATCCCAAGGAAAAAAACTTAAAATTGGGAAGGGGGAGTTCTATGCATGCATGTTTACTAAAGTGTTCTTTGAGGAAGAGACAGATTGCATAATTTAAAATTTTTTTGTGATTTCTAAAAAATTAAGAATAGTTAACACTTTTGAGCACTTACACTGTCCCTGAAACTGTCCTAAAGGTTTATGTGATTGAATCATTTACTGTCATAAAAACCCTATTGAGTGTTTGTACTACTGTTATCCAATTTTACAGATGAGGAAACCAAGGCACAGAGAGGCTCAATAACTTGCCTCAGGTTAAATAGTAAGTGATGCGGCTAGAACTGGCATCAGGAGCTCTCAACTACTCACTTATATTCCCTCTCTCATTGTATAATATTTTCATTGCAGAGAACTTAAAAAGACATGTAAACATAACAAAATTTAAATTCATTCATAATAACCAGAGATAACTAGTAGTTAGTTCCTTTTAGTCATTTTGATAAGCGTTTGTCAAATCCGATTACACAATTCCATCTCACGCTACATTTATTCAAAAAAATATTTTGAGAATTTTCCGTCCTCTTCTACAATTACTTGTGTTCCACCTGATGTTATAGAGGTATAAGACGAGTTGATTAGCCTCTACTTTTAATTACTATATTCAATGCATTAAACAGCTTTATACATAAATCTTTGTATCAACTTTTCATTTCTGAAAACAGAACTTTGTTTCTGAGGACAAATGCCTTTCTTAAAAAGTATACAATTTTTAAGGATACTTAACATATTTTTTGACATTACTTTGCTGTTATTCTTTTTTATCTCTTTTTTTGTTTTTTTTTTTTAATTTATTCATTTCAGTGGGGTTTAGGGGAACAGGTGTTTGGTTACATGAATAAGTTCTTTAGTGGTGATTTCTGAGATTTTGGTGCACCCATTACCCAAGCAGTGTACACAGTACCCAATGTGTAGTCTTTTATCCCTCACCGCCCTCACCCTTCCCACTGAGTCCCCAAAGTCTATCTTAGCGGTCTTATGCCTTTGCATCCTCATAGCTCAGCTCCCACATACTATGTTTGGCTTTCCATTCCTGAGTTACTTCACTTAGAACAATGGTCTCTAATTCCATCCAGGTTGCTGCAAATGCCATTCTTTTGTTCCTTTTTATGGCTGAGTTGTGAATTGTGCTGCTATAAACATGTGTGTGCAAGAGCATACTTGACGTATTTTCTATTTTTCTTTTTCTTTTTTTTTTTTTTTTTTTTTTTTACAGTCCAGAGGTCTTTTATTTTGTTAACACCTATGATGCTATGAATTCTTAGGGAAGAGGCTCCAGCAGCTCAGGCTCCTTCCCACTGACTCTCATAAAGTGTGCTTCTCTGGGTAGAGCAGGCTGGTGCTTCAGTTGAACCCAGGCACCATTCTCTTTGGCTTCTTTCTTTTTCTGAACATTTTCCTTCCCGCGTTTCAGGAAGCTAGCTCTGCTCTTAGAGAGTTTAATGTGCTCAATACGCACGTTAATTCTCTTGGCAAGAATCTTGCCCTTAACTTGTTTGTTTACAACAAAGTCAACAGCATGCTGGGGAACATTGTAGCTCTTCCAGTTTAGCCATGGTAACATTTGAAGGCATTCCTTTTTGAATAGTACCCATTCCCTTGATGCCTACAGTGTCATCTTTCTTATAGATTCGCATATATGTGGCCAAAGGAACAACTCCATGTTTTCTAAAAGGCCTAGAGAACATACATTGGGTGCCCCTCCTCTTTCCCTTTGTGTTCGTCATCTTGGCAAATTACTGGAAGATGGCGGTTCCTGCCGAAAGGTGATATATTTTCAAAGTGTTGTTCAGAAAATGTTTTATCAATGTATTTTCTTGTTAAGGGTGTCTGACAACCTCTACCCTACCAATATCATTATTGAAAATATTTGCTAATTTAATAGTTTTTAAAAAGTCTCTTGTTGCCATCTTATTTGTCACTTTTTGCTCATTAATAGATATAAACATGTATCATATATCTAGCGGTCACTCAATATTTATTTTTTGTATAATTGCTCATTCATGTCCTTTTCTCAAAATCGGTGTTTCACATATTGATTATGTAAGATCTCTATCTCTGTATATTAAGGCTATTATTCCATTTATTACCTAATATTTTTAAATGTTTTATTTACTGTATTACTTATAAACATAAAAATTTGGAAACATGCTAACTCTAAAAGGGAAACAGTAAGTGTGTTACATTCATTTCATGGGATATTATTTACTGAAGAAAATGTTTCTGAAAAGTTATCAATAATATGGGCGAATGTTTATTTCGTGGTATTACAAGAAAATATAGGAAAAAGTTGGATGTTCAGTATGATAAAAACAAACAATATGCATATTAAAAGACTGGAAGAAAAACTATTGACAGTGATGATTTTTAGTATTGGGTCTTTCATTGATTTTTTTCTTTTCTGTCTTTCTTTTGCTTTTTTTTTTTTTTTTTTTTTTTTTTGAAGAGTAGTATTTTCCACTAGGAAAGAAGCAATGAACTTGAAGAAGAGAGAGAAAAAGAAGAAAAAGGCATTGTAAAAGAACCAAAAAAAAAGGGGGGGACAGGGAGCTAGTACAAAACTGATCTTCTATACAGCGTTTCACTTTCTGAGCTGTATGAGAGATTCCCTAATAAACTTCTTCTCACACTGGAATATCTTGCTCCAAAAAGTAGGAGAGGCACCAGACCATCTGCCTTCCCTCAGCTTCCCTGCTTCTCACCAGGGGTGACCTGGACCAGGTATTTTCACAAACCAGAGGGGCCCATGGAATCCCAGAACACAAGACAGATGGACTTGAGTTCCAGGACCTGAGGACTCTCCATTAATTCCTCTCTGAAGGCAGTTGGACTTGCTGCTGAAGGGCAGCCCAGGGCCCCACCCCACAGGCCTAGAGGGGTGGGACAGCAACTGGCACACACAGACCCCATGTCTGCCAGCTGTTATCTACCCGGCTACAAAAAGGAGAGAAAGATCCAGGCAGCCGGTTAGCTGACTGCACAAGGAGAGCCACTTACATCCTTTCACTGGATATAAGTTAGTTTTCCTATTGTCTTTTCCCCAGATGAGGTTTTACCATCTCAGGGTATGAGTGCCCTTGGGATAGGAGAATCACTGGCATGTCCACAAGCATCCTTTTTAAGTTGATTGCTGAACCCAAAGCATTTCTCCAAAAGTCATGATGTTCCTCAAAAGGAAGAAAGGGAGTTAAGAACAAGAATGTTAATCTGCACATGACTGGGCATGGCACTGGTTCTTAACCCTGGCTGCACAGTGGAATCACATGAGGAACTTTACAAGTGACTAATGTATCAGGGATTTTAAAAAGCACCACAGGTGATTCTAACGTGCAGGCGGTTGGGAATCTCTAGGCAAAAGTGATGAGTTAAAGTGATTGAGGAGAAGATCGTTAAATCCGAATGAAGCGCTTGAGAAACAGACTCAGCCCCTCTGGTGGAACTGGAATATGTGTCATCGTGTAATTCAGTTCAAGGGTTTAGTACTTTTTCCATCACTTCGTCTCTTCATCTTACATCATCTTCATCTTGCATCTCTATGAACAACCCTTTTCCTCATTGTCAAAGGCAGCAAAGAAAGGGTTACAATATCTTGCCCAATGTCCCCTCACTAATACAGGATGAGGCACAGAGAGATTGAATAATATAATGGAAGCCTAAGGCCACAAGCCACAGCCCTAACATCCTTGCTATTAATAGAATATTGTTTACTTTTGAGTGGAAGAGTTTTTTAATGGAATTGGTGTTATGTGCAGAATAGTGTTAAATCAGTGGAAGATTGACAAAATATTCGGGGGAAATTTGATGCTACTTTCATTATTAATTTGTAATGGATCTTTAATATGGCAACAAATGAAAACATCTCTGACTACCTGTTAACCCAATAGAAATAACAAGAGAAATTCAGTGTACTAAACAGCACTTTAAAGACAGTTACTAGACATGGATTTACTAGGGAAAATTCTATCGGAAACAAACCCAAACAAAAACTCTATCATTAACAAAGCATATGGCCTGATGTTAAAAGTGTTATGAGACCAAAAAGAAAGTTCTAATGCTGTAAATA